TTGGGGGCTGCAAGTGCCCATTGTTGGCTCATGTCCAGCTTTTCATCCACCAGTACCCCCAAGTCCTTCTCGGCAGGGCTGCTCTCAATCCCTTCATCCCCCAGCCTGTATTGATATTGGGGGTTGCCCCATGCCAGGTGCAGGACCTTGCACTTGGCCTTGTTGAACCTCATGAGGTTCACACAGACCCACCTCTCCAGCTTGTCCAGGTCCCTCTGGATGACATCTTGTCCATCTGGCGTGTCGTCTGCACCACTCAGCTTGGTGTCATCTGCAAACTTGCTGAGGGTGCACTCGATCCCACTGTCTATGTCATTGATGAAGATATTAAACAGCACTGGTCCCAGTACAGACCCCTGAGGGACTCCACTTGTCACTGGTCTCCATTTGGACATTGAGCCATTGACCATTATCCTCTGGATGCAACCATCCAGCCAATTTCTTATCCACTGAACAGTCCACCCATCAAATCTGTATCTCCCCAATTTAGAGAGAAGGATGTTGTGGGGCATTGTGTCAAAGGCTTTGCAGAAGTCCAGATAGATGACATCCATTGCTTTTCCCTTGTCCACTGATGCAGTCACTGCTTCATAGAAAGCCACTAGGTTGGTCAGGCAGGATTTGCCCTTGGTGAAGCCATGCTGGCTGTCTTGAATCACCTCTCTGAGGTGATTATCTAGATGCCGAATGATCCCTGTGCTCCTCTTGCACAGTACTTCCAGTTTAAACTGGGGTAGGCTGGCACTTCTGCTCAAGAACCAACCAGTTCTGCCTCTGGCAATTTTTTCCTCCTCTTTATGCTGGCAGAAGACTTGTGTGGTGAACCCAGTCAGGGGACTGATGTGGGTTAAAACTAAACTTTTCTTTTTTTGGCTAGGTTAGTTTTAATTTGGGTTGGTTCACCACATTGTTGCTCAAATGTTTGTGCCAGTGAGAGGATGGAAGTGAGTGGCTCAGGGACAGCGACACTGCTGCTTTCGGCTTTTTACTCGAGGCCCTAGTGGCACTTTTGCCACATTGTCCTCAGGCAAAGTGAAGAACTCTAATGATGTGGGTCTTCTTTCCATGTCCTCATTTAGTTTACTTATTAAATGTTTTTGTGTGCAATAGATGTGGTGCGGATTTAATCAGCTAGTGCTATACATTAAAGTAATTTATGGTTTGAGTACATACTATTTAAACAGACATATTTAGCATATTGATTTATCCTGCCTGCAGTGTTTCTCAAACTTTTTTTGTATTATCCTCCCAGATAAATTACTGGCCCTGGTGCAGCTCTTGAGCAATGAGGAAACAGCTAGTGATGGAGTACAGGAGGCAGGCAGAAGGAGATGGCAGGAGGCAGCAATGAATGTGGCAAGTGGTGAGACATAGGGGAGAGCCCAAGGACTCTAGATGCGTCAACAGCACCTTTTAGCCACCTACTACTAGTACTTGTTTCTCTGGCCTGATGCCAGCCTCAGAGGTGATGTCTTGGCTCAGCAGCTATGAGCAGCCTTAGACTCTGCTTCTGCACTTGCTTATTTATTCCCTGTCTGAAACCTTCTTGGTGAAGGTCTGTCTTCTGGCTGTGGTCCCTTTCTCAGCCATCTTGTCCTGGCTGCCCCTGACAATACATCTTTATCCTGTTGCACTGTCATCATAAATATTCCATAGTGACTGCCTTCTAATGCCTGATTTCTTGCTTCATTAGTAACTAATTTTAAATTAATATTAGAAAACACGCTACCTGATAATAGTCTGTCAGAAATTTTTGCTCAAGTATAAAGCGGGACTTGCTGTATAGTAATTTTGCTGTGAGTTCATCGTAGGAGTTCATGCTAGTGTTACTGATCTGCTGAAGCTTGGATCTACTGATACAAAAAAGTATCACCGAGGTTAATATACTGTTAAATCTTTTGGACAAGCGGTCTAGGCTTTCAAGGGACCGAATGTGAGGTTTTTCTCTTCCCTTACTGACCTCCTGCTCTGCAGCTAATCTGATCTAACTGGACAGTTGAGACCTGCTCCCTTTGGTTTTCACTCTGCAAACTGCAGCAAAAGAGGCTGCCAGGCCTTCTCTTCACTCCTAGTGTGGGATTATTGAGGTCCTCTGCTTCAGCAAAACTCTCTCCCAGACACAAATACACCCGGGAACCCACATGCCCAAGTTTTATTCCTACCCTTCGTGAGAAAAGGTAACAGCACTGATGGCTGGGATGAGAAGAGGGTACAGCTTGCCTTCTGTGTGCCTGAAGAAGCCCTGACATGCTAGGCTGAACAGCTGTGCTAAACTGGGCATAAAACAAGTGTTACAGTTACCCCATCATCTAATAACTTTACTATTATTTGATAACATGCTTGTTTACAATGGAAATACTTCTGTGGTGTGAGGAGATCATCCTTACTAGCTCAGTACTTACTTTATGTTGGAATATAATTATCAAAGGGGCTTGCACAAGTGGTGATACATGAAAAGAATCTTGAGAGCAAAAATAATCTAGAAGATGGAAAAAGTCTGTGAAACAAAGGGCTAGTGGTGGGAGGCGTCACAGAAAAGAGATACTGCATACTATTTCAGCACAATATAGTGGTTTATACCTAGAAACTTTAGAAACGTATCCCATTGCTGTTGCTCGTAGTATGCCTGGGTATCTTGACACGGATGAGATGCAAGAATATGGAGACTGTTGCTTCTCTCATTCTTGGGATCACTGTTGGAGAACATACTGTCCAGTTCTAGTGAGATGTCTCTCCAGAGATTGCTGTCTAATTGGGCAGAGCTCAGGGGCAAACCACAAGGATTTGTGGCTTAGCAATTGCCCTTGCAGTGAGGAAGTGGTGGGGAGGGGGGGGAAGATTGATTGATATGTTCGGTGTGGTAGGGGGAAGATGAAGAGCTGCCTGGAACAATTTGCAAGCACCCATACTGGCATGAGATGCTTAACACCAGAGGGCTTTTTAATCTCTTTGGCAAATGTGTGATGAAAGGTTAGACTTTGGAGTCAGCAAAGTTCAATATGTAAATGCCATCCATTAATTCTAAGTAGTTAGAATAATTAACTGGAACATATTAATCTGATGGAGAATTACAAAATCATCAACAGTCCATTAGTTAATGCTAGATGGTTCTCTAAAAGGTAGGCCCTACTTACAAATTATTTAGCTTCTGTAGGGCTTGCTAGGGAGACTGATCTGTGTTGTATCAGTGGGCAATGGTGATCCTTGATACCTTTGCAGAACTGAAGACTGTATTCTTTGCTGTAAAAGAAAAGGAGAAAGTAGATGCAAGGGCAAGTTATGCTTCCTGAAGTAAACGTTAAAGGCTCTATTCTTGTAGCTTTCTCTGATAGTTTTGCTAGAAAGCATTGTATATTTATCACCCATCATTGGTAGTGACCACTAAAACTGATGTGATATCTGGAATACTGATCATTTTTGATGTATAATCAAGGTCAGTTAATAAAGCAGAGAAAGATTATACTCTACATTGTTTGGTACAGTTCTTGAAGAAAAAAGTTGTTAGTTATTATCTCCTCTTTGTTTCACTATATTATGTAAGTTAATCTGGGCTGTTGTGTCCTAGGCATCCACCTATCTGAAAAAACCAAGCTGCCTAGGCACAAGAGGTGTTGGGGATGGAAAGCAGCTACTGCACATTACTAGAATGAACTTGGAACCCTGGCATACAAGGATCTTAGAAAGCTGCCTTTTTGAAAACAGAATTTTACTTTTTTTTAAAAAAGGCAAACTGTCTTTACCAATGTTTGGGCAGAAAACAGTCTGGTTACCTAGATGTATTTGGTAAAACAAGCCTGAGATGAACCTAGAATTGTGTGTGTTTCTAACTCGACATTCATTGGCTTCTTACCTGCCTATGTGTTCTGGTGACCATTTGGGAAAACATTTTTATTATCTTGGTTTCTTATTTTTCATTCTTGTAGTCCTCTTTGAAACTGTCTACCTGCACCCAAGAAATTGGCTTGGGGAATAGGAACACCTAAATTCTAAAATTTTTTTTTTTTTTTTTTTTTAAATTTGCTTCTGTATATGTAATGTTTCTGTCAGGAAGTTAGTCTTAGGAAAGGGAGAAGCTTGGTCTGTTTCTTTTCAGTATAATTCAGTGCAGTACTGGTATTTTAAGGTCTGTTTCTTTTAAGTATAATTCAGTGCAGTACTGGTATTTTAAGGTCGTGATTCTGCTCTCAAAAAAAAAATGACTTCAGTGATGATCATAATAGATGCAGATATCACCTTGACAGTGGCACGCTTGCATATTAACAGGCTTAATATCAGTTTGCTGCACACAGTATTGTTGCTTTTTAGAGACAGATGTCTAGCAATGACTTAGTCTTTGTCTAAGCATAAGCTTTATATTGATAGGTGGCAAAATTAGGGCTGTCTTGAAGCATGTATAAGGACTTAATTTTCTTGGTCTCTATTCTAGCCACCTGTCCCTCCCATCTCTTTTTTTTCTTTTTCTTTTTCTTTTTTTTTTCCCTGTGATCTTGATGATCAGTGAGGAAATTAATGGGATAAGGCTAAAGCTAATACTCCTACAGAGATTTGTGTTCTTATGTCTCCCACCCAATAAAACCACACATATACTATGGTATGTCAGCGTTGAGTGTGGCCTGAGAAACTTCTGACTGTATAGTACCAACTGAAATTGGGAGTTAAATCAGCCACCAACAGAAGACAATTGTATGGGCTGAACATTGCAGTTCAAATATGTATTGAACCAATTATTAGGTGGGACAGTTCTCTAAGCATAAATAAAATAATTAATTTTTGGTGTCCTTAGAAACTTTGCAGTGTGTCAGATGTTAAGCATGTTTTGATTTGTTCCAGTAGCCGGATCGAGCTGGGAGATGTGACGCCACACAACATTAAGCAGCTGAAGAGGCTAAACCAGGTCATTTTTCCTGTCAGCTACAATGACAAGTTCTACAAGGATGTACTGGAGGTTGGCGAACTAGCCAAATTAGGTACAAATGTTCTTGCCAGTAATTGTGGGCTATGGTGGCGGAAGTGCTCATCATTGCTATCCATAATGGTTTTGAATAGCAGATCCTTCTATTTTGTTGTTTTACATAATGAAAAATAACTGTTTCGGAACCTCGGAAAGCCACAGTCCCAACCTCAAACAGTTTGTGTTGGAAATAGATTCCATTTTACTGGGAATAGGCATGTTTTCTGTTACAGCAGAAAGCTTGAGAGATGTGTGCTGCCAGCTTACCTACTGATGTCACTGCTAGTTGGTTTGAACTGTAATAAGCCAACCACTGTGTCAGAGCACCATTGGTAACTTCGCTCAAAGTGTTAGCTACAATCTATGATTTTATCTGGATGGGAGAATTAGCAAGAGGGAAGGAAGGAAGATATAGGGTGTAAACAAAGGAGCTGTATGTACAGTTTGAGATTTGTGACTGATAACACTTTTTTTCCCTCCCTGGCAGCCTATTTCAATGATATTGCAGTGGGAGCAGTGTGCTGTAGGGTGGATCACTCCCAGAACCAGAAGAGACTGTACATCATGACACTCGGATGCCTGGCACCCTACCGAAGGCTAGGAATAGGTAAGGAGGATCTTTCATATCTGAGTCATCAAAGAAACCAGATTGCTGTACAGCCTTCTAAATGCTCTTTCAGATTTTTAACCAAGATAGTGCACTTTCAGACCACTGACTTCTTTGGAAAGGACT